GCTGATGGGGACACAGTTTCTTTTTGAGGTGGAACGTTCTGGACTTAGAAAAAGCTGATGGTTCCACAGCAGTGTGAATCTACCGAAATCCGCTGTTTTAAGGTATACGGGTTATATCTCAATTTTAAGTAAGAAAAAAACTTAAAACACTTGTTGTATAAAACTGGCGAGGGAATTAAAGTTAAGGCTGGTAATGAGCGCCCCCCTCCTCCCCACCTGCTCCCATTTCTGGACACAATGACCCTTTACCCAGCAAGTGCCTTTGGCTGAAGAGCCTCCCCAGAACTGCAAGGTCTGGGATCAGGATGGGCCGCCAGAGCCTGTAGGACAGACAGCCAGTCCCGGCCCTGAAGACCTTAGGAGACACAGAGGGACCCACAGAGATCAACCACCACAACCCACTCATCTCGGGGGAAGCCTCAAAAGGGGAGTCACGCTCCCCAGCTAAGAGGGCACAGAGAGCAAACCAGTCTGCTGACCGCCAGATCTAAAAAGAACAGACACACGCTGCCAAAAACGTCAAAATGTTTTCATTTTAGGTATTTGTTTTGACAGCATTATTTACAATAGCTGAAAGATAGGGGCGCCTGGGCGGCTCAGTTGGTGGAGCATCTGACTTTGGCTCAGGGCATGATCTCGCGGTTCGTGTCGGGCCTGCTGCTGTCAGCTCAGACCCTGCTTTGGAGCTTCTGTCCTCCTCTCTCTGTCCGCCCCTCCCCCGCTCAAGCTCTCTCCCTCAAAACTAAGTTATCACACACACAAAAAGAGTAGACTGAGGAAGGAAATCCGGTCTTTAGCAGAAGTCTGCCCCCCCGGACCAAGTGGTGAAGCTGGGGGCGGGGGGTGCTGTGTATGAGACCATCAAGGCTCATGGAGGCAAGGGTTCAAAAAACTAAAAGACCAAGTCACCCTCCTTTCTGTGCCCCTGGCCCTCGGAACCTCAGGGCGTTTGCACGTGAGGATCCCTTGTCCCCACTGGATTTGAGGCACTCTGGCCTGATCTCCCCAGGATAAGCTCTCACTGCCTGCTTCCTGGGCTTCACCTGGTCTGTCGCTTGATCTTCTCCCAAATGGTGGCCCCTCCAAAGGGATTCACCGTCAAGAGGTCAGAGCGCCCCCTGGAGCCTGCCCTGGGCCTGGTGTACGGATGACAGGCCAGGGAGCCTGATTTGCCTGGGAGGACAAGGTCCTGGAGTCAGCCTCAGGCTCAGCCATTTCTGCCCCATGCCAGTTTCAGGTCACTTTCCCCACTCCTAAGCTAAGGACCGCTTTGTCCCAGCCGATACCCTCACTTTCCTCTCCTATGAGATGGGGTAACGGAGATGTCCTTAACAGCTGTTCCAAGAACTTCTGACCTACGGGGCGTGTGGGTGGCTCAGTCGGTTGAGCATACGACTGGCTCAGGTCCTGATCTTGCGGTTCCTGAGTGTGCTGTCAGCACAGAATCTGCTTCAGATCCTGTCCCCACTCTCTGCCCCTCCCCAACTTGTGCTCTCTCAAAAAATAAATGTGGAAAAAAAAAAAAAAGACCTAACTCGGGTTTTCTCCACTATTGCTATCCGGGGTAAGATCATTCTTTGCTGTGTGTGTGTGCGTGCGTGCGTGCGTGTGTGTGTGTGTGGCGGGGGGATGTCCTGTTCACTGCAGAGTTTAACAGCACCCCTGGTCTCTGTCCAGTGTACCCCGAGGCGGGGGGCAGAATCACCCCCCGAGGGGCACCCCCAGGAGTCTCTGTTCTGTAAGCATCTGACTACTGAGGTCCTGGGATGCTGCACATATAGAAATACGCACAAACAGCGGAGGGAGGGAGGGTGACCCACAGGCACCAGGGCGGCCCTGGTTTCTACCCTCTGACCCCTGGGGACTTACTCTGGTGTCTAGTGTGGGCAGGGACTAGACTCAGTATTTTCCCAAATAATCAATGCAGGGTCTCTCCCGCTCAGCACTGCTGACCTTAGGAGCAGGTCACTCTCCATGGGGATGTCCTGAACACGGTGGGGGTTCAGTAGCATCCCTGGCCCCATCCCCCTCGATGCCAGGAGCACCTCCTTCCACAGTGGTAACAACCACAGATGTCCCCAGACATGGCCAAACCCCCCAGTGAAAGTCACTGGAAGACTCTAAGTCAGTACAAGTCAGACTTTTCTGGCCAAATGACCTTGCTGCACACTTTCTGAAAACCTCCTTGCGCAACATTTTGGGTTTCAGGCCTGCAGCAGAGGGAGCATGGGTCTGCTATCGAGGACTACTTCCCCAAGGTGCGACAAGGACCCACAGGGCCTCTGACACAGGTGGTCCACGAAACTGTCGCTTCTTTGCGAGACAGTTTGCAAATCTCACTTCCACGCAGGGGTTTTGGGACGAACGAGCCTTCTGCTCGCCACAAAGTGAGGCCCAGCAAAACACAAGGACAGCACTTTCCCTCGACTCCTACCAGGCACCCGGAACAATCACGACTTGTAGGGTTTTGGCCACTGGACAAAATTCTCAAAAGCAGCCCGCTCTCTGAACAGTGAGTGCTTTATGAGCTCTCAGGAAGCACCACGGAGGGCCCAGTTCGGGTGAGCCTGGTGAGGGTGGACGGACAGAGTCCCAGGGTGTGGCAGGGTCCTGGGGCCAGCCCCGCTGGTGGTCCTCACAATCCTTCCGGCTCTCAGTCCACCTTTTCATTTCATCATTAAACAACGAAAAAATCAGCCTCTGTTCCTTTTATTTCCGAGCCTACAACTGGTGAAAGGGGAAAAAACGGCATGCCTCGCTAAAATGAGCAAGCCCTTGGTGCGCCCGGGGGGCTCAGTCAGTTAAGTGTGCAACTTCAGCTCAGGTCATGATTTCGCGGTTAGAGGGTTCAAGGGTTCCAGGGTCACGTCGGGCTCTGTGCCGACAGCTCAGAGCCTGGAGCCTCTTCGTCTGTGTCTCCCTCTCTCTCTGCCCCTCCCCCGCTCATGCTCCGTCTCTCAAAAATAAACAAACGTTAAAAAAAATAAAAAGTGAGGCCTCCCCCCACCTCGGGAGCTGAACCGCCCGCTGCCGCTGCCGAGGGCTTTCCGCCTCCATTCTGAAGCCCGAGCCCTGCTCACAAACAGCAGTGTGCAAAGTCAGTGCTCTACTCCTGTGTCTCAACCTAGCACACCTCCAGTGTCTGAGCAGGGCCAACTCAAGGCTTGAGCCCACGACCCTCGCCGCAGCCCTGTGTTCTTCTAAAATGCCACCAGAATGCCCTGTACGCTTTAAAACCGTCAAAAGCCCCCCGAAATGTCACGCGTGTGCGCGTGAGGCCCTCTGCCAAACCCTCAGGGGCTCCACTCAAACACAACTGCTCCAACCCATCTGGAAAGTCTAACTCCCTTCAATACTGAGCCGCAAGGTTGCTGCCTCAGAGCTAGACGCCCTCTTTTTCTGGCAAAGTCCAAGTACCAGTCTTATCACTGGCTTCGTGGGCTTTGAAACTCCTTGGTCTGTCATCTGTCCCCTGCCCTTGCCCCGACTATGAGCCACTGGACAGACACCTTCCCTTTGAACCCCAGCACTGAGCAGTGTTTGAGCCATACAGTCTTGGGAAAATGTTAGATCCCTGTCAAATTCAGAGCCACCTGACCAAGTTCTTTGGGAAGAGCAGAAGAGACAACAAACCTTGGGTCTTGCCTCCCTGCTAAAATTCCCTTTATTCCTTCAACCCTCTTCCTGAGTATTTCCCACAGGGGCCCGTGCTGGCTCTTGGCAAAAAAAAAATAAAATAAAAACGTAGGATCCAAGTTAAGACCACAGCTCTCCATCTGAGGCGGAGCTTATAACCCTATCTTTGGAGCTGGCTCACCCTTCCAATAAGACCAAATTACAAGCTTCAGGCAAAATCCTTGGAGTGTTGAGCACCTTCCAGGCCCGAGCTAAGTGCAGTTCACACAATGGCTTATAGAGGGGATAGGTGATCATGTTCTGAAAAGGGCCCAAGGAAGCTTCCCGGGCCACAGGGTTTCTGTGGCAACCACTCAACTTTCCTCTTGTGCAACAGCAGCCACGGTTAAGGGGTCTGCGATGGAGGCGTGGCTTCGTTCAGGAAAACAAGCTGCAGCTGGGTCTGGCCCCCCAATCACAGTTTGCTGAGACCTTGGCTTGTCTACCCTGTCCCCATTTTACAGAAAAAAACACGGACACTAGAAAGATGGGGGTGCCACTCAAGGTCACCCAGCTAAGACACAAACCCGGACTTTTGAACCCAGCAGTCTGACTCCAGAGCCTCCACTCCAAGTGCTCTTTCCTCTCCCCACAAAACGTGCACAGAATATCTTGGGGTTCATCTCACCAACCCCATGTACACAGCTCGTGCTGGCGAAGACGCACTGGTCTGGAGCAGGGCTTAACTTCTGCACTGAGGACACTGTGGACCGTTCATGGACCGTCCTAGGCACCGCAGGGTGTTGAGCATCACCCTGGCCCCACCCACTCGGCGCCAAGATCACACCCAGTCGTGACAACAAATGTCCCCCAGACACCGCCCTGTGTCCCCCAGGGTGACAGAACCACCGGTCTGGGGAGAGGAAAAGCAGACAGAATAATCAGAGATGGAAAACTAAAGGGCACAGGAAGATCCTGCAGCCTGAGGGATGCGGGCTGCGCACACGTTTTCTGACACCTAATAAGAAACCTAGCGGTTCTCCAGTATGCTCTTAACAAGCAGCAGGAGCCTGGTCACAGAATGTTCTGTTTACTTAACCTCAGAGCGACCCTAAGAAGCGCATTCTCCTACGGCCCCTATTCTAGAAGGAAAGCGCTGCTCAGAGAGGCAAGCGACTTCCTCAAGCTCACACAGCCAGCGAGAGGTGGTGGGGCTGACTCTTCCCGCCTTTAGGTCAATATACAGAAGCCCCTAACACCTGCTGACCCCACTGAGCTCTCGCTTTGCGCCGGTCCCTGTGGCCTCAATCTTCCCAAGGACCACCGCCCCCACCCACAAACATCAGACAGGGACCGCGACTACACCCGTTTTACAGAGGGGGAAAATGAGGCTCCGGGAACCCAAGAGGCTGGCCAGGTCAGCCAGGTGGAGAGTGGCGGCGCTGGGACAGGACACCGACCGGAGCCCCACTAACGGGATACCTGATTCAAAGGGACCGTATTTCCGGGCAGAAGACACCTTCGTTGCTTGCGGAGCACTTTCACTTGCAGTTTCACCTCGAACCAGCACTTGCCGGGCCTCGGGTCCGGGTGAGGCGGACCAGGACTGGCGAGGGCCTGCCCGACGCCGCCCTGCCTCAGTTTCCCCTTCGCGCCGCCCACTCACAGCACCCAGCGGACCGCGGCCGCCCCAGCCCCAGCCCCAGCTCTCTTTACGGGCCTTTGAGCCCCGGGAGCTTCAAGCCGCGGACCCTAAGCCCGTCTGGCTCAGCACCGAACACCCCCCACTCACCTCACTGGCGGCCGAACGCCGACCCGCCGACGGCTGCGCCTGCGCACCGCAGCGCTACCCGGCCCCGCCCCCGGCCGCGACGCTTGCGCGGAAGGAGGCGGCGCTCGTTGGCTTTCATTCTGCGCAGGCGCGTCAATTATCAAGACGGGCGTGGGGAGAAGTGACGTAATTCAGGCGTTGGAGGGGGGTTGGGGGGGGCTAGCTGGTCGTTAGGGCAACTGACCTCTGCGACCGATTGGAGGCCGGAAATCAGGACTGTCGTTCCCTCCCGAGCGGTAACAGCGCGGTGCATCGTGGGATAGTGGCGGACTCCCGCGCGTTTGGCAGAGCCGGTCACGTGGCACCGAGCCGGCCACGTGGGGTGGCTCAGGTTAGTATCTGGCGCCCAGAGCAGCGCAGGGGCTCTGTGAATGCCAGTGACTGTTACACGCTATGTTTTACGTTTATTCACCCACCCATCCACCCGGGCGGCCACAAATGCATTCTTTCATTCATTCCATCTATAAGACGTAAAGGAATACAGATATATTTGTTTACAGCAGGTGCCTAATAGTCAGCAAATGTTTTGCAAAGCAACTATCAAAACCAGGAAAGTGCCTGCTCTCGTTACTCCTACTGGGGTTGACGAACTCGTAAACTAGTATGTAAATTAACACCTTTCGCTTGATGATAAAACGGCGTGCGGTGATTATGATTGGGGAGGTAATCTGGCTGTGATGGTTAAGGAAGATCTTTCTTGTAGATGTGGATTTGGAGGATGAGGCAAAAAAAACCTCCCAAGTATGGGGTGCCTGGGTGGCTCAGTTGGTTAAGCATCTGACTCTGGGTTTCGGCTCAGGTCTTGATCTCATGGCTCCTGAATTAAAGCCCTAGGCTCTGGGCTGACAGTACGGAGCCTGCCAGGGATTCTCTCTCCCTCTTTCTCTCTTCACCTCCCTCACTTAAGCACTCTCTCTAAAAAAAATAATAATAATAATAAAATAACCTTAAAAAAAACCCTCCAGGTATGGAGAACAGTGGAAATGATTATTAAGTAGGATAAAACTTGCTGTGCTTAATAAAAGGTGAGCGATGAGGACGGTCTCTAGGAAGACCCACAACTGACCACCGTTAAAGTTGCAAGAAGGGTTCTCCGAATTCACTTTTATCCTATTTAAAACGCATGCATGTTTAAAGCCCGGAGATTTAATTTCTTTTGCAGAAATAAGGGGAGTGTGTTTTTTGGCCATTTTAGTTCTGGTATGTTTTTCTTCCTGGGCGCCTTAGATCAAGATTTCGTTTTTCGTTTTAATGGACAATAGTTACAGGTTAGGATACTGCACCGTCTCAAAACACCTGTTTGAACTCGTAGATTCATTTTCTGAAGCTTTCCCGATTTTTTTAAAAAAAAAGTGTGTTTACTCTCTGTCCCAAAAATAAAGAAAGGGTGAAAAAAAAAATTTAGAAAAAAAAAAAAAGTGTTTAATTGATTCACCGGATTCTGCTGGTACTCGTGGAGCGCCTCATCTTCGTTAGGTGCAGGAAGCTGGGCAGGATGCTGGTTGGGATAATCTACAAAAAGAGCCTGAGACGAGTATGGTAAGGGATCACTAACGTGATCCTTAGGTGAAGGGAAAACCTGCAAAACTAGCCAAATACACAACTGTAAGATAGAAAGGTGACAAGCACGGATTAACACTGAGGCTGGAAGCCCAGACAGAGAACTACCGGCAGAAAGAACCGCATGCACACAGATTTTGAAGCAACCTCTGTGTGTGGTTTCCATGGAAACGTCCCTCCCGGGCCTCCCCGGAGGTTCCTCCCTCTCGCCGCGCGAGCCAATGATGAGCGGGGAGGGCTCCAGCGCGTGCGCAGAGTGCGATAGCGTGCCAAAGCCCCGCCACGGGTGTGTGGGCGGTGCTGGGGGCGCGCGTGCGCTCTGTTCTTCGGCGCACGCGCGCTCCCAGGATTCAGCGGGCGCGCGGGCGGCGGGCACCT